GCTTAATTTCTGTAAACTTGACACAAGCTACAGTCATTTGGTGGTGCATGCCTTTAATCCCAGCAGAGGCAGGTGTATCTCTGTGAGTTCAAGGCCAGATTGAGCAAGTCCCAGAACAGCCAGGGCTATATAGAGAAACACTGTGTGGTGGTTTGAGTAGGTCCGACACCCATAGAGTCATGTATGTTTGAATGATGGGCCCACAAGGAGTGGCACTATTAGGTGTGGCCTCGGTGGAGTGGGTGTGGCTGTGGTGGAGGAAATGTGTCACCGTGGCGGCGAACTTTGAGGTCTCCTATGCTCAAGCTATACCCTGTGTGGGACTCAGTTCACTTCTTGTTGCTGCAGATCAAGATCTAGAACTCTCAGCGACCTCTCCAGCATCATGTCTGCCTGCATGCTGCCATGCTTCCCTCCATGGCAATAATGGACTAAACCTCTGAAACCATAAGCCAGCCCCAATTAAATGTTTTCCTTATGAGTTGCTGTGGGCATGGTGTCTCTTCACAGCAATAGAAACCCTAAGACATCCTGTCTCAAAGACCCAAAAAAGCCAGGCAGTGGTGACACCTTTAATCCCAGCACTTGGGAGGCAGGCAGATCTCTGCGAGTTTGAGGTCAGCCTGGTCTACAAAGCAAGTTCCAGGACATCCAGGGCTACAAAGAGGGACCCTGTCTTGAAAGAACAAAAACAAAAAAACAAGGAAACTCAATTGAGAAAATAACTATCATCAAATTGGCCTGTAGGAAAGGCTGTGGGGGTGATTTCTTGATTAACGATTGGTGTGGAGGGCCTGGCAGTTCCATCCCAAGGCACGTGTTCCCAGGTGTGTACAAAGGCAGGCTGGAGCAGGTGGCTAGCCAGGGCTACACAGTGAGTGAGGCCTGTCTAAGGACTGAGAAGCTGTGACTGTGGCAGGCTGGGCCAGCCATGGCAAGCAAGCCAGTAAGCAATGCTCCTCTGCTGTCCCTGTTCTGGTTCCTGCCACAGGCTCCTGCTGTCTTCCGTCCCTGCCTTGGCTTCCGTCAGTGACAGACTGTGATCAGGGCATGTAAGCCTAATAAGCCCTCTCTCCTCCAAGGTGCTTTTGGTCATCACCTTTATCAAAGCAGTAGACAGCCAATTTGTACAAGGCCCCAGGCTCCAGCTGTCCCTGGGGCACACAGTATGGCAGGGACCTGGTGCACATGGGTGTGCTCTCAGTGCCGTGAAGACAGACTGTCCTGGGGAAGCCGGCCTCAGCAACCAGAGAGAGGCATGGCTGACAGGGGAGGGTGACAGAGAAATCAGCCTCCTGAGCTTGTCAGTCCCAGCAAGGCAAGGCCCCACACCCCAAAGAAAGGCTCTCACTAATAGGCACCTGAGTGTGGAAAGATGTGTAAACCACACAAAGTTGTCCTCCAAGCTCACGGCAGGTGTGTGTCCACAGGCATGTGCATAATGTACATGCCCAACAGTAATCAAGTGACACAGAAACATCGAACCTGCAAAAACCCGCGACATTCACTTCAGACCACAGCTTTAGAAGTGTGGTTCCTCCATTGGACAGCATGAAAAGCAAGAGCTGGTGGAGGAGGGGGGGGAGGGAAAGAAGGAGGGGGGGAGGGAAAGGAGGAGGGGGGGAGGAGGAGGGGGAGGGGGAGGGGGAGGGGGAGGGGGAGGGGGGAGTGAATAGGAGAAAGGGAAGAGAAGGAGGAAAAGGAAGAAGGAGATGAAGGGAGGAGGGAGAAGAAAGAGGGCTTTGAGAAGGGAGGAGGGAGAAGAAGATTCAAGAAGGGAGGAGGGAGGTGGGGGAGGGCAGGAAGAAGAGGTAGACTGATGGTTATTCCCATTGTCAGTTTGATAAGATTGAGAATCACCATGGAAACAGACCTCTGGGCAAGTTTGTGAAGGAGTTTCTAGGTTGGGTTAAGGAAGACGGGAAGACCTACCCTAAATATGGGCAGTACCATTCCTCCGGGGCAGGGGAGCCCTGGACTGGAAAGAGGAGAAGAGTGTACTGGCATTCCTCCCCCAGCTGGGGACACCAGGAGACCAGTCCCCCAAACTCCTGCTGCCAGGATGTCCCCACCACAGGGGACTGTGCCCTCAAATTGTGGCACAGAATAAACGCTTGTTTGTTGTTTGTTGTTGTTTTGTTTTTCAAGACAGGGTCTCTCTGTGTAGCCCTGGCCGTCCTGGAAATTGCTCTGTAGACCAGGCTGGCTTCGAACTCACAGAGCTCTGTCTGCCTCTGCCTCCTGAGTGCTGGGATTAAAGGCGTGCACCACCACGTCCAGCAACCCTTCCTTCTTGAGGTTGTTTCTGTCCAGCATTTTGTCACAGCAACAAGAGTGACTGATTCAGGGGAGTGACTGATGCAGAAGGCCATGGGGGAGACTGCTGAGGCCCAGGAGTCCCAGGAGCTGGAGAGCAGTGAGCAACAGAGTGAGGCCCTAGCTGAGGAGAGGAGGAAGGTGGTGGTGTTTGTATTTGATCTTTTTAAGGGCTCATCACCCAGCTCCCAAATAAATCACACACGGACGCTTACTCTTACTTATGAATGCCCGGCCTTAGCTTGGCTTAATTTCTAGCCAGCCTTTTCTTAAATTATCTTAAATTATCCCCTCTACCTTTTGCCTCTGGGCTTTTGCCTCTTCTATTCCTGTATACCTTTCTTTGTTACTCCGTGGCTGGCTGGTTGTGCGAGCTGGATGGCTGACCCCTGATGCCCTCCTCCTTCTCTGGCTGTTAGCTTCTTTTTTCTCCCAGTTTTCTCCTTCTGTATATTCTCTCTGCGTGCCAGCCCCGCCTGTCCTTTCTCCTGGCTCCCTATTGGCCGTTCAGTTCTCTATTAGACCATCAGGTGTTTTACACAGGCACAGTAACACAGCTTCACAGAGTTAAACAAATACAACATAAAAGTAACCCACCTTAATATTCTACTACAGGAAGGGGAGAGGAAGGACAAGACGGGGGAGTTCCTGGACCACAGACCCCAGCAAGTCCTCACCTCCCACACCAGTCTCCTGCATTCATGGCTGACCGAGCAGGACAGCCGGAGTCAGGCAGCAGTCCTCTCATCCCACTACAGGGCGGAACAGAAGAGTGGGCACTCGGGGCTGGAGAGATGGCTGAGCGGTTAAGAGTACCAGAGGACCCAGGTTCAATCCCCAGCACCCACATGGCAGCTCACAGCTGTTTTTAATTCCAGTTACAGGGGATCTGGCACCCTCACACAGACATACATGCAGGCAAAATACCAATGCACATAAAAATAAATCTTTAAAAAGAAAAGAAAATTCTTCCCGCAGTAAAGACTAAACATGGCAGTCTGACCTGGGCTGAGTCCTCTCAGGCATCTGTTTCAGATGTGACTTTGTGATGGTTAATATTAGCATCAACTTGACAGCATCCAGAATCTCCTAGGAGACAGCCGGCATGCCTGTGAGGGGTCATCTAGATTAGGCTCGATCAGGAGGCATCAGCCCTTGGGCTGAGGCCCTGGACTGGTCCTGATCACCTCTCCGTTTCCTCAGACACAATGTTAGCCTCACACGGCGGCCGCCACACCTTCCTGCCATGGTGGGATGACCCACTGTGCTTGGATCTTCTGTCGTGACTGTGAGGCTAGCCATGAGCAGCTGAGTATCTCTCCAGGCCTGAGTATTCTGTCATAGCAACCTGAGAAGTAACTACAGACTTCCACCGGGAGACGGTGCTATGTATGTGGTGCAGGGGCCAAGCCGGACTCCGCATGTCTCACAGGCACATTGCCCTTGAGCCACATCCCAGCCCTCCGTGGTTTCTTTTCAAGTGTAAGGGTGTTTTGCATGCATGTATCTCTGTGTACCAAGTGCCACCCTGGTGCCCTTGGAGGCCAGAAGATGGCGCTGGATCCCCTGGAATTGGAGTTATAGGCTGTTGTGAGTCACCATATGGGTACTAGGAACCGAACCCAGGTCTTCTGCCACAGCAGCCAGTGCGCTTAACCACCTAGCCACCTCTCCAGCACCACCACCCTCTTTTTGAAACAGGCTCTCACTCTGTAGACCAGGCTGACCTCAAACTCACAGCGATCCACCTGCCTCTTCTTCCCCAGTGCTGGGTTTAAAGGGTGTGCCACCAACCACCCAACTGCAGCATGCACCCCTAACCACTCAGCCGTCTTTCCAGCCCAAACCTGGATCTTAAATAATTATAAAGAATGTTATTGAAACAACTTTCAGGATGAAAAGTTGTTACTATCTTTTCAGTAACACAGCCTCAGTCTTAAATGTGGACCAAGGAGATGGCTCACTGGGTAAAGTTCCTCCTGTGCAGTCGTGAAGACCTGAGTCTGGATTCCACACCCACATAAAGAGCGCGGTGTGACTGCTCATGCCTGTAATGGATTCCTGCAGCTCGCCGGCTGCCAGCCTAGCTGGGAAATAGTGAGTTTTCATGAGAGATTCTGTCTTAGACTAAGGCAGGGACCGCCGGTTAGTGGTGGCGCGCCTTTAATCCCAGCACTTGGGAGGCAGAGGCAGATGGATCTCTGTGAGTTTGGGGCCAGCCTGGTCTACAGAGCGAGTTCCAGGGCAGCCAGGGCTACACAGAGAAGCCCTGTCTCAAACAACGACGAGAAGAGTGAGGGGGAGAGCAATAGAGAAAATGCCCGACGCTCCCCCAGGGACTCCACACCCACACACACACACACCCCACACACAACCCCACACACATACACACACACCCCACACACATGATGATGATGATGATACAAATCTTGTAATACACATATGGAGCATATGGCAATTTTTGATATATCTCTTGAGCAGTGAGGCCCCAGCCACCTTGACTCCTTATATACAAACTCCCAGGGGAAGGTCTGATTGGCAGCTGAGGGGGCTGGGTCCCTGACTCTGGGCTCTATGGCTGTTCTATGTATGGACACAAGGTCTCCATGCCAGTGCTAGGGGCCAGGCCTGAAGAACGGAAGAACGGACACTTCCCCTTCCTGCTTCTTGGAATGCAGCTGCGAGCTGGGAGGAAGTCCAGGCCACGTGGAGAGTGACTCAGACATGCTCTGGCCAACAGCCAGCTATAGCCCCAGATCACAGGCAGCCATGGCATGTCAAAGAGGAAAACAAATAGGAGACAGAGGGGTCCCGGCCATCTGACTACAGCCTTGGAGACCCCGGGCGGAGCTACCAGCTAAGCCTTAGAACGGAAATACCGCCGGCCTGCTGGGGACTTGGGCAACATGACGGTTGTGGGAAGCAGCCCTACTTCTCCGGAGAATCTGCTAAAAGACTCGGGGGTGAGGTATTGTTTACACATAACTCAGAGAAGTTAAAAAGCTCCGTGTGTGTGTGTGTGTGTGTGTGTGTGTGTGTGTGTGTGTGTGTGTGTGTGTGTGTATCAGTGGCAAGCTTGGGAGGGCATCCCTGATAGTGTTTGCTATACCCTCCTTCCAGCAGCTGCCACCACAGAAACTGCAAGGGTGAGGAGCCCCAGTCATGCATCTCAGTCTATTCCTGGGCAGATTGCAAGCTCTCAGGGAAGGCTGTGACTGGCCAACCCAGATGATAAACACGCTCTAGCATCCACCAGTCCTATGCAAGGAAGAGACGAGACAGGACCCTGCCCAAAAGCTATCTGGAGGCTGCCACTTAAACATGGGGCAGCTGCCACAGGCGTCCTGCAGCCACGTGCCGAGTGTTCTTTAAATCGCACGGCTTGTTGGCCCAGTCACTTACGCTGCCTGAAAACAGCTCACTGGAAGGCTGAAGGAATGGCAGGAGGCGGTGGAGCTGGACCTCAGGCTCCCTGTGTCTGGCTCCAGCCTCGGCCCTTCCTGCCACATCTGGGCCCAGCGCTGGTGGAGACCCTAGGTGCAGGAGTGTTGAGTTTGGGAGGTGGCTTTGCCGTGTCACATGCATACAGGCGGCTATGAAATCCTCCCCCACGCAGACGGGGTCGTCCCTCCTTCCTGGGTGATCCAACAGTTCTGCGCCCACAGTGGGTACTGCCCACATGGAGATAGATGGTCCACAGGGCCTAAACTCCACTGGCCAGCAGAGGGCGCTCCCGCACCCTTCGGGTCATGGCTTGGCTTCTCTCCTTTCCCCGACCTGACTGTCCATTGAGACTGGAAACCTTCCTCCAGGCAAGATGGTGTGGAGAGAAGAGAAAGAGAGGGTGGAGGAGAAACAAGAGGAGAGAGAGGAAGAGGAGTACAGAAAGGGGGAGGGCCCCCCACAGTCCTGTCCCATCGCGTTCCCCTACCAGGATGGGGGCAGAGGGTGGGGGGCTGAGGCCTGTGAAGGCTGTCTAGGAACATCTCCCCACCACCCCACCCCCGCCTGGGCAGTTCCTGGGAAAGAAGCCACCTCCACCCATTCTGCAAACCAGAGGCCTTGGAAAACAAGATGTGCGCCTGGCCTGGTGGTGCACCTCTAATCCCAGCAGAGGCAAGCGCATCTCTGAGTTGGAAGCTACCTGGTCTACAAGAGAAAGAAAACAGAGCAGCAAGCCACCCAAACCAAAGAGCCACGAGGGACAGAAGCTCCTCACACGGCCTGCTGCCACAGGGCTCTGGCCAGAGCCTGTGGGGATTCTGCTCGGGACTTGGGCCTGGTCCCCTCTCAGACCCATCGGCTTAGCCCTCTCTCGAGCACACTGTTGCCTCCGGTCCAGTGCCCTCCGCCTGGGAAAAGAGTCACCGGGGGGAGCTGCTGTGGTAGCCCCCGCCTGCTCTGGCCTCTGCTGTAAGCTATTGCACTCTGCTCTCTGGGTCACCAAGGCCTGAACCCCGCAACTGAACTTGGCCCTCCAGACCCCTCCAGAGGGAGAATGTAGGGCAGGCTGGCCCCTGTCCAAGCCCGGCTGGTTCTGTTTAGTGGCTTCCTTCCAGCCCCGCGTCACAGTAGGGCTGCTGAGTGGCACTGCCCTGAGTCACAGCTGGAATGGGGTCAAGACATGATCTGGACTCTGTTCTGTAGTTGTTTTTTGTTTTGTTTTTTACTCTTTGGGGGCCCGCCACCTAGCTCCCAAATAAATACATGGAGACTTATTCTCACTTATGAATGCCCAGCCTTAGCTTGGCTTGTTTCTAGCCAGCTTTTCTAACTTAAATTATCCTGTTTCTCTTTAACTACGTTTTGCCTCTGGGCTTTTTACCTTTCTTTATTCTATATCTCTTTCTTTCTTACTTCATGGCTGGCTGTGTGGCTGGGCAGCTTACCCTGGGTGTCCTCTCCTCCTTTTCTCACTCCTCCTCTTCTCTTGAGCCTAGATTTCTTCTATGTATTCTCTCTGCCTGGCAGCCCCGCCTATCCCTCTCCTGCCTTGCTATTGGCCACTCAGCTCTTTATTAGACCAATCAGGTGTTTTAGACAGGCAGAGTAACACAGCTTCACAGAGTTAAACAAATGCAACATAAAAGAACGCAACCCATCTTTGCATCATTAAACAAATGTTCCACAGCACAAAAGAATGTAACACATCTTAAACTAATATTCCACAACACTGTCCTTCAGAGCCCAGGGCACATCCAGCTAGGGCAGGAGACTGAGCCTCACCCCAGGGTCTTCACCCCTATTCACTGTGCCCCCTGGAGGCTGAGCACCCAGGATACAGGATGTAACAAAAAGAACCATGGAGACGGAGAGATGGCTCAACTCTTGCAGAGGACCAAGGTTTGATTTCCAGCTCCTATGTAATTTCAGCTCCGGGGTACCCAACGCTCTCTTCTGACCTCTGAGGACATTCACATACACATGGTATACAGACATAGACATACACATACATAAAAATAATAATAAAAATAAATAGAGAGAGAGAGTGTGTGTGTTCTGGTCTGCCTCAAGGAAGCTGCCCCCGCCACTGGCCATTGTCACATACACAAAAGCCTGTCTATCCTAGCAGGGCCAGTTCTGGCTCTGTGTCCAGCCAAACACACCGCCTCCCACCACCGCCCCAGCTGACACCTGTGCCAGCCCTGAGTCCACACTGGGAGGAGCCAGGAAAGGACTGAGGTCCTGACATTCCTCCTGTCCCACGTGGCCTGGGGTTCCTGCGGCTGTTGGTTCTCCTGCAGTCCTCTGAGGCCCTGGTCCCAGGGCCTTGCTCCTCCCAGTCAGGGACTTGCCGTCTGCCCCTGCTGCCCCACCCACCCACCTTCTCTTCTGTACTTCAGCTCAGCTGGGCTTGCTCCAAGATGGAAGGAGCCGGCAGTGGAGGGGAGAGAGGAGCTGCTGCTGTGCCCCAGGCCCGTGACTCCAGCAGATTTCCTAACTCTTGCTCATGAACAGGGAGGGGATAGGGGTGATGGGCATGTCAACAGTACCCTCCTTACAGTAGTGACCAGATCCCAGTGTTCCCACAGCAGTACAGCTACAATGCCCTCTCTGCGGGCCGGACACCTGCCAGTACCTGCCACCCTGTGGCATCCTCATCCCTGGGTCACGTCTCAGCACTTCTTCCTCAAAGCAACCCCTAAGTGGCAGGAGAGGTCTCATCCAACATCTTATCCGCCATCCAGCATCCACACTAGCTGCTCATCTTTGCTCTCCCCACAATAGGTCAGGGAATGCCCATGCTGTGTCACAGAGAGGATCTGTTCTCAGGCCCATCTCACAGGAGAGGAAAAGCTCATTGCTCAGGAACGCGCAGCTTGGTAGTGTCAGAAGCTTCCAGAAAGGACACGGAAGCCCAGCTCACCATCAGGCACAACTCACTCCGTTAGAGCCGGTTCTCCCCAGTTCAGCACTAGAAACACCAGGTCACTGTCGACGTTCCTCACCCGGTGCAGCTGTGCCAGGCGGGATGGGGCTGGCATCAGCGCCACCGTGACACACCCCTTCGGGAGAAGGCACACCTCCCTGGCACGAGGACGCCAGACTGAGTCCTCCGCTTTCCCAGGCCTGTTGGGTCAGATCTAAGCCTGTTAGGTGACTTGCTCCACCTTAGATATTAAGGAAGATCTTTCTTCACTTTTTGTCTTTTCCAAACAGGGTCTCAGGTAGCCCAGGCTGGCCTCCAAACCACTATGTAGCCCAGGATGACCTTGGACTTCTGATTCTCCTGCATGCACCTCTCAAGGACTGGGATTACAGGCGTGCAGCACCCTCCGTTTATGCAGTGCTGGGGACTGAACCGAGTTCAAGCATTCTAGGCGGGTATTCTGCCGACTAAGCTACAGCCTCAGCCTGAGGCAGAGACATTTTAATGCTATACTTGTATTTGCTTAGTATACCCAGGTGTGGTGGCGCATGCCTTTAATCACAGCACTAGGGAGGCAGAGAGAGGCAGAATCTCTGAGTTGGAGGCCAGCCTGGTCTACAGAGCTCAAGTTCCAAGCCAGCCAAGACTACACAATGAGACCCTGTCTCAAAAAAATTATATAGGACTGGAGAGATGGCTCAGCAGTTAAGAGTACTGGTAGCTGAGGAGTTGGTGAGAACATGGAGATTAAGAGCTTGGAGCAGGGACGCCTTTAATCCCAACACTCGGGGAAGGAGCCGTCTCTGTGGGACGTGACCAGAACGGACCCAAACATTCTGCCCGAGGCCAACCCAGGACCCAGCTGCCGATCCTGCGAAACTCAACAACTTGGAGGTGCTGGTGAGATTGCCCTACTGATCAACCTGCTCAGCTGAGATCCATTCGGGAGAGGTTTCAGAAGCCTACAACCTGCAGTCTGAGGAAACAAGATCAGTTGAAGAGTTAACGAGCGAGCAAAACACGACCTGAGAACGCCCAGCTACCGAACCAGATCACCAGAATCATAAGCCCACCCTGCACTGACTGGGAATAGGTAAGACCCCATCTTGGGTCCTGCAGACCAGGTCTCTAGGCCCTAGGCCCCAGCCATCTGAGCCCCAGGGACCAGACAGCTACCTTTCCCTGCTCCCTCACAAAAAAAAAAACAAAAAACCCAGCCCCTGTGAACCCAACAACCACTGGAGCCATAAGCCCACCCTGCACCAATTGGGAACAACTGCTCCCTGAGACAGAACCCACTAACACTAATTGGACTAAGCTGCTCCCGGAGAAACAGAGCCCAACAGCACCAATTCGACAAAGAATTCCTAGTGAATCAAGACTCAATTAGAACAAGAGAGGCACCTCCAGACACAGACACCGCCTACACCGAGCGGAGGAAGAGATGAGTAGACGCCAGTGCAAAAATACAGGCATAACATAAAGACCTATATGACACCATCAGAACCTAGTGATTCTACACCTGCAAGACCTGAACATACCAAGGCAGAAGAAGCAGAAAAAATCAATCCTAAAAATGACTTTAAGAAGAAGATAGAGGCCCTTAAAGAAGAAATGAAAAACTCCTTTAAAGAAATGGAAGAAAAAACAAACAAAAAATTGGAAGAAATCAAAGAAAGCCAAGAAAAAGAAATTAAACAGATGAAGGAAACAGTTCAAGATTTGAAAATTGAAATTGAGACAATAAAGAAGACACATCTGAGGTAATAATGGAAATTCTGACTAAACGAACAGGAACTACAGATGCAAGCATAACCAACTGAATGCAAGAGATGGAACAGAGACTCTCTGACGTTGAAGACACAATAGAGAAAATAGATTCATCAGTCAAAGAAAATCAAAAAAGTCATAACACAAAATGTCCAAGAAATCTGGGACACATGAAAAGACCAAACCTAAGAATCATAGGGATAGAAGGAGAAGAATAGCAACTCAAAGGCACAGAAAATATATTCAACAAAATCATAGAAGAAAACTTTCATAACCTAAAGAAAGAAATACCTATGAAGATACAAGAAGCTTACAGAACACCAAATAGGCTGGATCCAAAAAAAAAAAAAAAAAAAGTCCCCTCGCCACATAATAATCAAAACACTAAACATACAGAACAAAAAAAAAAATATTAAGAGCCTCGAAGGAAAAAGAACAAGCAACATACAAAGGCAGACCCATCAGAATAACACCAGACTTCTCAATAGAGACTATGAAAGTGAGAAGGTCCTGGACAAATGTTATACAGACACTAAGAGATCACGGATGCCAACCTAGATTATTATACCCAGCAAAACTCTCAATCACCATAGACGGAGTAAACACAATATTCCATGATAAAACCAGATTTAAACAATACCTATCCACAAATTCAGCCCTACAGAAAGCACTAAAAGGAAAAATCCAACCTAAGGAAATTAAACACACCCATGAAAACTCAGGCAATAGATAATCCCACACCAACAAATACCAAAGAAGGGAAACACAACACTACCACCAAAAAATAACCGGAATTAACAATCACTGGTCATTAACAACCATCAATATCAATAGTCTCAACTCACCTATAAAAAGACACAGGCTAACAGAATGGATACAGAAACAGGATCCATCCTTCTGCTGCATACAAGAAACACACCTCAACTTCAAAGACAGTAACCACCTCAGAGTAAAAGACTGGGAAAAGGCTTTCCAATCAAATGGACTTAAGAAGCAAGCTGGTGTAGCTATCCTAATATCTAATAAAATAAATTTCAAACTAAAATCAGTCGAAAGAGATCGGGAAGAACATTACATATTTATCACAGGGAAAATCCACCAAGATGAAGTCTCAGTTCTGAACAATTATGCCCCAAATACAAAGGCACCCACATTTATAAAAGAAATGTTACTAAAGCTTAAATCACACATCAAACCCCACACACTAGTAGTGGGATATTTCAACACACCACTCTCACCAATGGACAGATCTACAAGACTGACACTTAACAAAGAAATAAAGGACCTAACAGATGTTATGACTCAAATGGACTTAATAGATATCTACAGAGCATTCCATCCTAACACAAAAGAATGTACTCTCTTCTCAGCACCCCATGGAACCTTCTCAAAAATTGACCACATGCTCGGTCACAAAGCAAATCTCAACAGACACAAAAACATTGGAATAACCTCATGTATCTTATCAGACCACCATGCCTTAAAGTTAGATTTCAACAACAACAAAAATTACAGAAAGCCTACAATCTCATGGAAACTGAATAATGCCCACCTGAAGCACCAATGGGTCAAGGAAGAAATAATGAAA